GCAAAATCCAAAATACAATATTACAATGAGGCTAATATTATATATTATATTACAAATTTTCACAATATTCACATTCATTGTAGTAAAGTATTTTAGATTTGCTGAATGATGACACCCATAATGTGTCGAAACGTATATTAAATAAATAAACTTGCTATTAAATTTACCATATTTTAGTATGACGGATGGGTTGCAAATTTATTTCAAATTATATATATTTATTAGACATAAAACCAATTTAAAAAACAAATAATTAAAAATTTTATTTTTTTAATTTCATACGTTTCGGATTTCATCAAGGCCATCATTTAGTAGAAAAAATGCATATACTTGTAATACTATCACTAATCTAATAACACAGTCTAGAAAATTATTAATTTATAATTATTAGACTAAAATTGTATTAGAAGTTTTTAATTTTTAGTACAATATTTTAATTAATTATTGTGATAGTTTTGCAAATAAATAGCTATTTTTTTCACTGGTTGATGGACTTGATGCAGATCGAAACGTATGGATTCAATGAATTTATAATTTTTAATACCAAGTTTTTAAATTGGTTTTATTTTTGATCAAAATAATAATTAAGTGATAATTTTAAATAAGCAATAAATAATTTAATGATTCATAATGTGCGTTTCGGCACTATATGTGTGTCATAATTTAGCAAGATAACAAATGCAAACCAAGAAAAAAACAGCACACAAATTTAAACACAATTTTTAATAAAAAACATAAAACTTTAAATAAAACAAAATAAGTTAAATAATAAAGATTTGTAGCTAGTCACGTGATTACCAAATTGTGAAATGATATTTATGTATAATATATTTAAGGAAAATATTAAATTTATTACTTAACTTTTAATTTATTATATTATTTATTTTTTGTGTTCTTTTCCTGGTTTAAATTTGTTAACTTTTAATAATGACACACATGCAGGGTCAGAACGTACATAATAAATATTTTTTTTATTTATTGCTTTTTTGACTATGTAGCTGCAAAAACATTTCAAAAAAATTTAACTTCACAAAATTTAAAAAAATCATTCTGAACTTTATCACTTTTCAATAATGTACAAAAAGGAGTTCAAATAACACCTCTAGCTCCCGCACTATTTTAAATCCGTCCTTGTTGAAATATAATTTATTTAAAACAGGACAATATTTTTGTTGCTAATTTTTTCTTTAAAATTATTGTGTTTAATTGGGTAGATTTTCAGCTCACTATTTAGTATTTACTAAAAAAATCTGTATTTAATTTTTAAAAATAGACAAAAAAGTGTTGACTCTAAAAAATATATTTTTGAAACTGGTGTCACCACTTTTTGCCAAAGTCTATATGATACTTGTTAATTTATGTTCTTCGTAGTGGGCTAACAATTGTGATAACACTTAAATTATTTCATATTGTTTTCACAATTTGTTTTTGAGTTTTCATTAATATTTATTAAAATAACAAAATTGTAAGTCAATTGCACCACACTTTTGTAATATAAAGCCAATATTTTTCCTTGACTGATTTATTTAAAATTTGTGGTGCATTTGGCTTGTAAATTATTATTTGACAATTCTAAAATGTAAAAATGAGTTGTATATATTTTATTTAATAGACTTCTTCAACTTAACGTGTTAAACGATTATTGTTATGGTTGAATCACGAAAGTTTACGAGTGTATATCTAGTCAAAAAAAATTTCAATGCAAAATTTCGAAATTGAAGTTTGAAAGCATTGGAAAATTTAAATTTTAATAATTAGATTGTTAAGGGAAAATCATCTAATATCATGCTGCTTGTTATCGATCTATTAATTTAAAAAATAATGGGGTGGGGCGGTGAACGCTTTAAAGGACACATTTTTATATATTATTATGTTAAATTTAGTAATATGAACTTTTAACTAACTGAAAATAAAATAAAATTATTTTTTAAAAATTTCGGTTGAAGTTGATAAAATTTATGTTCAATAGGAAATGAGTATTAATAAATGGAGTTTAAATAAGATTTTAATAAAATAAATTAAGTAAATTATTATAAACATTTTTCCTATAATTTAAAAAAAAATCTTTCTATTTAAAGATTTCCCTCTTGGTCCTTAAGTTGTTCACCTTCCTTCACATTTGTTGTAGTTCTAAAAACTTGTTATCTATTAATTAAAAATCTATTTATCTATATATAATTACTTACAAAATTTAATTATTAAGATTCATACATATTTTAACTTGAATTCATACAAATTTTAAATATTTTCAATTTATTTTTTTGCACTGCCATCAAGTTCAAATTTAACTCTAACAAATATTTTTAATGTACAAATCATTATGCGTAGATTGATGCTCAATTTGTATGTAAATATAAATATTATGTTAAATTATATTTTTTCTGAAAATACGCTCGTAATCTATTTCCAAATTTTTTTGGGAAGTTGAATTTCAGGTTGTAAAATTAGTCATTGCAGAATAGGAAGATAAGTATTGATAAAAAAAATTGTTTATATATTAAATTTTTATGTATGGAAAATTTGGTGGTTGATTTATGATTTTTTGGATTTAGGTAATCTTGAAGATGAAGACACAGTTTTGAAATGGATGATTAGTCAAAAGGAAGATGCATCGATTGAAGATATTGATAGAGAAAAGTTGTTCAAATATATTGAGACAAAAGAGTTTTTGGCTGTTGTTTTCTGTAAGTATTATATATGAAGAAGTCTGAAGCAAATTGCTGGAACTCCCCGTACCAAAAACTAAGTTATTAAAAAAAACTTTGAAAAACTTTGAAAAAATTAGATTTTTGAGAAATTTTGAAATTTTTGAAAAAAATGGACTTTATTTGAAAAATTTGATTTTTTTGTATTTTGATTTTTTTTTTGAAAGTTTTGAACATTTTGTTCAAACACACACGCATATCAATTTTATCTAAGGGATGCCAAAATGTTCAGAAACGTCTGAGACGTGAAGATATGCAAAAAAAATTAATTTCGATATTTGTACGATTATTATTTTGATTTTATTTTTTTAGATAAAGAAGATGATCCTGAAAGTCCACGAGTTTTGCGTCATATCGAACTTATTGACGATGAAGCTGCTGAATATGGAATTAAAATTGTTCAAACCAGTGACAGACTTATGGCTAAAAAATATGGATACAGAAATCCACCAGGAATTACTTATTTCAGAAAGGTAAAAAAATTCATACATACCATTGCCTACATTAAAGCAAAACCAATTTTTAGATCGTAGTAAACGAAAGTCTACTACGTTATAACTTTTATTTAATCATCAAATTTTAAATTCCATAAAATTCTAAATACTTACGTCCACTTAATTTTACATACTTCAAATAATTTTTTTGAAAACACAAACTGCTATTATCAGAGACCTTGCCTTGTTTTTTTTTTAAATTTTAGCCAAAATTTTAAAAAGATGCAGTTCTAGATTAATTTTTGTTCAATGGTCATCTTATATTTTTGGAACATATACAAATTGGCGTCTTATATTTTTTCACTGCAGATCAAATATTATTAATTTATGTTATTATTTAGGGTAAATATATAAACTACGATGGAGACGTTGACGATGAAGAAGAATTACTGGATTGGTTGACAAATCCAGAAAATATGGAACTCACCGATCACATCGAGAGAGTAAACAGAAAAATGTTCCACAAAATTAGGCAAACTTCTGATTATCTGGCAGTATTTTTCTGTGAGTATGTATGTAAATATTAGCTTTAAGTATTTTATATGAAACACTATTTTTGGTCTTACCTCGAACAGCCTGGTATCAAGCAGTAGTAAAAGATTTTTTTATATGATTTCTATCAACATGTGTGGGCATAATTTTTATTTTTAGACAGTAATGATTGCAAGCAATGTCCAAAAGTCCTGGCAGAGATCGAACACATTGACGACGAAGCAGATAGTGCTGGAATAAATTTTGTGAAAATTGATGACAGACAAATGGCCAAAGAGTATGGAGTGTTTGCCCTACCAGCTATTTTATTCTTCAAAATGGGTTCTAAGGAACCTGTTATTTATGCAGGTAATAAATCATTATTTTCCTCACCCTAAAAACATGCTTAACTTAATACAAATTTAGATTGATCATATTTTTAATTTATTTAAAAATATTCAATTGGAATAAACATTATTTTTATTTAGTTCTATTCAAATTACCTTAAATTTTGGTAATCAAGTTCCTAAAGAGCAATCTTGGAGACAATCGGTTTATTAGTACGTATATACTTTTGTTGAAGGAATCCAGAATATTATAAGGAAATAGTAATTTATTAGAGCATTTTCACCAAAGTATAAAATATATAGCAAAGTTTCTAAAGTTTCTAAAAGTTGAACTTGTTAATTCTTAAGTAGTAAATGACACCGTACTTAGTTTTAAATTATCTTAAATCTGTACAGATTTTTTTTTGTACTTTTTATATTGGATTATTCAGACTAATATTAAGTCTTTGTCAAGTAGGTCTATTTGTATTATTTGTTAAATTATTTTATTTTAGGTGACCTCTACGACGAGGAACAAATTTTGAACTGGTTGATGATCCAACAAGATCCTTCTGGTGAAGTTATTGAAGCTTTTGAAGGAGAAAGCTTATTGGAACTTATTGAAGAATCAAAAGCTTTAGCCGTTTACTTCTGTAAGTCAAATGCTGGTGGCGTAAGTTATTATTTTTTCAAATAAATTGAATTTACACACTTAGCCAACGATTTCTTTAATATTTTGATAATAATACTTTAGTAATGCTTAAAATTTTTAATTGACTTTACACATTGTTGACCGAGGTCTCGCCCGAAATTCAAATAAACAATAAATTTTTTATTGATTGTATACATTTTCAAAATTATCAAAATTATCAAAATTCTGATCGAAGTTTACTGATTTTTCATAACTTTTATAAATTCGGTCTTCAGTACGATGTCGAACCTCTACTACTTCAATATTGTATATATGGAAACAATTTCTGAAATTTAATACTTAAGTATGAATATATTTAAATTTTTGTCATATTAATATATCAATTTTATTTGTAGATTTTCACAATTTAGCATATGTTAATTAAATTGATGTTGTAATAACACTCAATATGCATATATAGTCAATAATTTATAATTTGGTGTCGTAACTAAACTTTTTCGTATGTTTATAATATATATATATATATATATATATATATATATATATATATAATATATTAAATTTATTTTAAATATAAGTGCTTTATTCTTTCCGCAATCGCGTTTAATTTTCTAAACAACACATTTTTGCTTTGTAAACTTTGCACAAATTTCATATGGTAATAAATACATTTTTCATAACAATACAGTCAAATATTTGTCCTCAAATTATTATATTAATTAGTGGTGCAAGGCAAAAAAAAATTCTGGAACTTACCGTACCAAAAATATTTTTTTTTTAAAAAACATTTTTGGGACAAGAAACATTAGATTCTTGAGAATTTTGTGGATGAACTTATTGAAGAAATAATTTTGAAAAAATTGAAATTTTTGAACTTTTTTTTAAAGCAATAACGCTGCGCAATTGTAACTTGGAGATGCAATAATGAAGCGCGTAAGCGCCGCTTCGTAGTCTTTAGGATATATACTAGTATTGGAGCTCTTATGAACATAAACAAAATTTATATTATAAAATATCTGATAATTTGATGTGCATATATGTATGTACTGACCCACAATTGGCATTTTTTATTTAATTTCTGAATCTCCAAAGGCTCTGGACCTGTTTCCTCAAAAATTTATTAATTTTGTCAATACAAATAGAATGTTTTTTGAATCATTCAAATCGGCCGCTCTGTTACATTACGTTATGTCAAAAGCATTATCATTTTTAACTTCCCGTAGGGTAAGTTATAGTAATCGTCCAAAAATCGAAATCAAAAATTTTTACATTTCTCGACGTTTTGAAGGTTTTTGAACATTTTGGCATACTTCAGAAAAATGGATGTGTGTGTGTGTGTGTGTGTGTGTGTGTGTGTGTGTTTGTATGTCCGCTTTTTTTCGTCCACGTTTTCGGGCGCACGGATCAACCGATTTGAATGGTTTAAAAAACATTCGATTCCTATTGATAGGGAGATGTGCTGATTAGTTTTTGGCAAAGGCAGGTCCAGCCGTTACGGAGATATGGAGCAAAGAGTGCAAAAAATAGAAAGCGAATTTTTGAGAGAACGGATCAACCGATTTGAATGGTTTAAAAACATTCGATTCCTATTGATAGGGAGATGTGCTGATTAGTTTTTGGCAAAGGCAGGTCCAGCCGTTACGGAGATATGGAGCAAAGAGTGCAAAAAATAGAAAGCGAATTTTGAGAGAACGGATCAACCGATTTGAATGGTTTAAAAAACATTCGATTCCTATTGATAGGGAGATGTGCTGATTAGTTTTTGGCAAAGGTAGGCCCAGAGGTTTCGGAGTTACAGAGCTAAATTTAAAAAAAATGGCTGTTTTTGAGAGAACTAAGCGTCTGATTTAAATGATTCAAAGAACTTTCTGCTTTTTTCAACAAAACAATTGATTTTGGAAAAAAAAATTTTTTGATTCTAATTTTTTTTCAAAAAATTTTTTTGTAATTTTTGACTAAAAATTCAAAAAATCACCCAAGCTAAGCACAGTCTAAGCGCCACTCTGGTACAAATGTTTACCCAAGTGCGTTTAGACTGTTTGTGTACTGGAGCACTTTTCCAATTTTGTGAAAATTATTGAAAAATGTGAAAATGCCGCCAAGCTGAGCACAGTATAAGTGAAAATATCGCACAGAATTATTTGCAAATGCGTTTAGACTGTGACTATGCTGGAGCACTTTTTCAATTTTGTGGAAATTTGGCAACTATTTTTTTTTTTTGAAATTTGATTCGAAATGAAATGACGATTGTTAATGTTCTGGAGGTGATAAATTGATTTATTTATAATTAACTTTCCGTAGGGTAAGTTATAGTAATCGCACAAAAATCGAAAATGAAAATTTTTATATAACTTTACGTTTCAAAGGTTTCTGAATATATTGGCATACCTTAGAGAAAATGATGTATGTGTGTGTATGTGTGTGTGCGTGCATTTGTGTGTGTTCAGATACAAATTTTCGTCGACGATTTCGGGAATCGGGATGAAGCAATTTGAATAATTCAAAAACATTTTACTTGCATTATCAAGATGAAGATTTGATGAAATTTTTATGAAATTAGGTCTAGCGGTTTCAGAGATCTAGTAAAAAAAGTAAAAAAAAATAACATTTGGCGGTCAACAATAATCATTAGACATTAGACATATGCACATCAAATTATCAGATATTTTATAGAGATTTTAACAATGAGTATACATTTTGTTAACATTCCTATGGGTTCCGTACCAATGCTTATGCGTTAGACAGCGACGCGGCGCTTACGCGCTTCGATATTTAGTCTCTATGCATTAAAGCAGTACGATTGCTTTGAAAAAAAGTTCAGAATTTCCAAAATATTTCAAAATAAATTTTTCAACAAAAAGTAAGTTTTTGTCAAAAATGTATATAGTTCCTCAAAAATCTATTTTTTTTAGAGTAATTTTTTTTAAAAAATGTTAATCTTTTCAAAAAAAAAATAATTTTTGGTACGGGAAGTTCCAGCAATTTGCCTTAAGGCACGATGCCATGCGCCCCACTAGTTACTTTTTGCTCCGTGTTTCCGAAACGGCTGGACCTGTTTTCGCCAAAAACTAATCAACACTCTCCTCATCAATACGAATCGCCGACGAAATTACCTTTTTTAAATTATCATTTTTCACTTTTTGCCCCGTATCTCCGAAACGGCTGGACCTGTTTTCGCCAAAAACTAATCAACACTCTCCTCATCAATACGAATCGAATTGTGGACGAAAATTTTGTATCCGCACATACATTTACACTCACATTATATGCCAAAATGTTCAAAAACCTTTGAAACGTAAAGATAAGAATAAAGGACAAATATTTGAACACTTTATAATCATTTCAGTGCTTAATTAACACAAATCACAACTTTTTAATATTTCATTTCACCGATGATCGATATTCAGTGACAAAATATACGATTTTTTGGCTTGATTCTTTTTAGAATTTTGTTGTTTTTTGTTTTTGTTTCTTTTCTTCTTTTCGTGTTCTGTCGTCATAGGGAACGAAACGTTCTGCGAAATGTGTGTAGCGAAACAGTCGAAGGCGAGGAAGAGGGGACTGCAGTGCCGCCTGGAGGCGGCCAGCCAAGAACGAGACAGCGAAGAAGAAGTCGACTGTTCGAAGGAATTCCAAGATCATGGTAGAGATATTCTGATAAATAATTTTAATTGAAACGATACGAAAAACTATGTCCATCTGAAAGATTGATCTTGATGAAACTAGTTACTATTTAATAAAGCAAAGATTTAGTAAATTATTAATTAATAAAGAGTAAAGGTAGCATCGTAGGACTGTCTAGTGCATGAGTTTTATTGCCATGTTAAGTTTTATTAAAAACGTCGAAACATTTTAAAGAATTTTTTTCAATAATTTATTTTGTGAAATACTGTGCAGATGATAAAAGAAAATACGAATACCATATATCATGCACATAGTCCTTGATATTATTTCATTCATCATTTAAAGTAATTGTAACATTTTTTACACAACTAGAGAAGCTTCGAGGGCTGCTCACTTACATTTATGCTAATTCCAAAGACATTTCTAATGGCTTGGCCAATCTAAACGTTAACGATTATTTTAAATTAAATTTGTGAGAATCAAATATTGACTCATCGCATCATAAAAACGGCTTTTGACACATATTTTGAATATTAATTTTTTTTAAACTTTGATAAATTTTTAAAATTAAACGACATTACGTAGGGCCGTAATATTTTAGTATGTTCTTAAGGAGTACGGTATTTATCAACACAAAAGTTTCATCGAAAAAATTGTTTCATCAGTTGATCACTAAGAACGGCTCTGCCGAACTTTGTCCAAAACTAATCAGCACCATTCCAAATGTCCAAAATTTTTTGCTAAAACGTTGCAATTTTACTTTTCTGCTAATTACAAAGAAACGGTTCGGCCGATCGTCGCACTAAACTGAAAAACAATCATCCTTATCGAGTTACATCAACTGGTTTTTGAATTTTTGAAATCAAAAATGTTTCAATTTCAATAAATGTAAAATTAAACTTAATAAACTTTTCATGATTGCCAAGTGATATTATTTAAAGTTTTAAATTTTTGAAAACCTGCTTATGAATTTTTACGAAAACGAGTACAATTTTTGCTCACATTTTGCTGTCAAACAATTCAAAATAACTTTTGATTGAAATAAACTTTAATTGTCAAAGTTGGAATATCTGGAACGAAAAAACTTAGCGCAAAACTATTAAATATTTAAGGTTTTTTATTAAAATTGCCTTTTCATTATTGGCATATTTTCATTTAATTTTGGATGGCCATAGTTTATCCTATTATCCAAGATTATATATTTTTCAAATTTAAATAGCATTTCAGAAATTGTAGATTTATATATTACTTTAAATTTTTTTTGTATTTTTCCCTTATTAATAGGTATATATTATATTATAGTAATTAACTATATTGTGCACGGAGGATTGTGAGATTGTCAGCAATAATTTACCCAAATATAGTAAAATGCATACTTCATATAACTATGAAGACATGACAAAAATGCTGAAGCTTAAAAAGAGGTTTTTGTAAGATTGTTGTAAATTTTGCCTAAAAATAGTTTGCCTATTTATACTAGAGCGAACTATAACTAATTCGATTTGAAGGCATGTATAGAACAAAAAACACGACATATCATTACAGATATATAAAAGTAGTTTAAATTAGTTGTATTTGATTAGGGCATAATAAAAAAGTGTCATTGTACAGTTTAATAAAAAATTCCAGCTTTGGAATAGTTTAAATTATAAATACCCTGATTTAAAACTTTTGGCCATGGTTTTTTCGGTAAAGTTTATTAAAATGATCCATTTTGAGAAAATTTGGGAAAGTGTTTCTGTGATTTATCGGTTCTTCCAAATTCGATTTCTCTTAATAATGATAATAAAAAAAATAATAAAATAATAATAATCATATTAAATATGCTTCTGAATTTAAATATAATTTATTTTCGTGCTTACAATATAAAATCATGTTTTAAATTACAATTTCATTCATTGAACTAAAAAATTAGATAAATGTGAATATTTTTGTAAATGTGAATATTTTTTTAAAGAAATTTATGTACTTTTATTTGCATAAATGAGGAGCTTGAATCTAGTCATCTTTTTTGGCATCATAATAATTTGTATTATTTACACTGGAATTTTTTATGTGAACTTTTGAAGTAGAAAATTGTATATCATAATTCATTTAATTTTAGCTGTAGATATTAGATAAGTTTTTACTTACTGATTCAATATTTATACTTGTACATTACACACTTAATATGTGTCTGATTTTTGTATGTAGTATGTGATAAATGTAATAATATTGGGCTTTCGTATTTAGGAAATTGACTTGTATTTTTAAATAACATCATGTAAAGCCTAAAATGTCATGTTCACACAAATATTCAAAGATTTGTTTGTATATGATGCTTTTAGGTGCTCAATGTATTTTTATGTGTAGCATTGTTGTATATGTTTAATATGATTTTATTTTCAGACCTGCACTTTTGGCTGTATATATTATAGTATTAAAAATACCTGTATGATTTGCATATAAATAAGTTGATGCTTTCTGTATATATTTGCATGATAATTTTGGCATAACATCATTCTGAAATAATATTAATTTTTAATGTGTATCTAACAAATATTTAAAAATAAGACAAGTAGCAAAAACTGCAGTTTTTTTCAAAAATTTAAATTTCAAATACATTTGTTTTGATCGTGGCGATAAATGATATATGTATTATTGTTGTATTATTTTTTATGAGTATTTTTGAGTTAACTAAAAAATACTTCAACTCAAAAATATAAAAAAGTTAAGTTGAAAATTATTGATTGGCAGTGACAAATGTTTATTACAGTATGATGTTATCGCTTATCGTTAGTTGAAAAAAACATTTCTTTGCTGTGTAAATTTTAGCGCCTTAGAAAACGCCCTTGCGTAACACCTAATTTCATATTGCCCATAACTTTTTATCTTTTCGATATGACTGTTATTTCTAGGTTTATATATGTATCTATGAATTTCTTTAAATTATTTTAACAATTTTTGATGATTTTTTCAGTCGGTCCCGAATGCGAAGAATGTACGAGTATTTTGAACGAACTAGAAAATATTGATGACGATTGCGACAGGCACGGAATAAATTTTATCAAGACTCAGGATATTAAAATTGCTGAATATTATGGAGTTACTGATTTTCCAGTTTTGGTTTACTTTGAAAATGCCGTGCCTAATGTTTTTGAAGGTAACTAGTTGTTATTTTAAATATTCCATACCTTGATAATATGCGAAATTAGCAAACTCTCAAGGGTAACCTCAGGTTTACTAGTGTTTGATTTTGATGAAACTTTGCATGATGATAGAATTGATTGTCAAAACAAACCCTTTAAAATATTATAGGCCTAAGAATAAGAAAAATTATATGCATAATACGAGAAATGCTGAGTTTGACTATAAGCTTAGAATCATATTTTCTCAACTTCATTATTTCGACCAAATAAAAAATTGATGATATATTTTTTTCATTTTTAGGATCACTTTCGGAGGAAGAAGAAGTACTTCAATGGCTAATTACACAAAAAACTGAAGACAGAATTGAAATGATTACCAGAGAGATGTTAGAAAGGATGGTCGAGAATACGCAGTATTTGGCGGTGTACTTTTGTAAATTTTCAAAAATTATTATATAAAAAAAACAAATTCACAATAAACATCACTATTTTTTTAAAAAGAGGAACACATAAACCAAAAATAATTAAGAATTATACATGTTTTAATTAATTTTTAATTACTAATACTATTTCCTCTAGAACTAATACTCTTTTTAATATCAAACATAAAAGTATGGTATCAAAAATCAATTGTTTGGACTGTGATTCAATGTATATTGGTGAAACTAGATAAAATTTAATAAAACGGCTTAACTATTAAACAAACCGTTTCAAAGATCTTATAACTAGAAACTAGATAAATTGTAATTAATATAGAAAAAAAATTAATTAGTTTTTTTTTCATTCTTCTTCACTTGCACACTATTCTTGAGATTTCTGGTTTTTCGTAGAAAATTGTATTTAATACCGAAAAATTAATAATTTAATATAAATATTTCAATGTATTTCAGATAAATCAAATTGCAACATTTGTGACGTAATATTAGAAGGATTGGAAAAAATTGATGATGAATGCGATGTGTTTGGAATACACATGGTCAAAATTCAGGATCCTCAGTTGGCAAAAAGATATTCCATCAAAACTTTCCCTGCGATGGTGTATTTCAGGTAATAATAAACTTTTAATTAAAAAAATCTTGGAATTTAAAATTTGATACCACTTTTTAAAAGAAAAATTATCACATAGATGAATCTGATCTTAACCTCATTTCTTGCTCGTTTTTTTGTTAGATTCGAGGCCAGAAAAAATGAAATTTATGTTTCATTTTAATATTGCTGATACAATAACGTACAATAATTATATAGATATATAAAATTTTGTTTTATAAATGGTTTATGTGCTTTGCTATGGATGAAGTAATTTAGGAAGATTTAAGACAGTTGACGGCAGTATTTGCTATACTAATGTTCCATATTTTTTCAGGAATGGAAATCCTTTACTTTTCGAAGGAGATCTTCAAAATGAAGAATCAGTTTTGGAATGGCTGATTGATGATGATAATCGCGAACTTGCTGATGAAATTGAGACAGTAAATGAGAGAATGCTGGAACGACTACTTGATGAATCCGTATTACTGGCAGTCTTTTTCTGTAAGTATTTACTAAACTTTTCAAATTAAATTCACAAATTTATTCAAGTCTTTTTGTGGCTTAGTGGTATGAGCTTTCACCTCACAACACAAAGATTTAAGCATAATTTCTGTAGAGGACAGCCTGATATCAAGCATTATTAATATTCGTTTTCACTCAAAAAATGGATATATAAATATTGGTTCAAGTAAAATTGACATCATAGTTCACTATTAGCGTCATATATCATAATTTATTGGATTTGGAAAATACAACTTAATCGTAACAGCTTATTCCAAGTTCTTGTAGTTAATTTCAATAATTCTATTATTCACTTCTATTACATCATTCTGTATAGTGATTAGACAAAAATTTGAATTTCTATTATTGAAATCTTTTATTGCATTTTAATGAAAATTTTATTGGTAGATATTTTCATATATTTCACTTACTCATTCAATCAAGAAATTTTGTCTTCATTGTTGCCTAAGTTTATTTACCAAAATTTTTTAAAAATATTTTTTTGTAATGTAGTTCACAAATAATGTGTATTATTTTTTTTTAGATGATGACGATTGTCCGGAATGTGAAGAAATTTTGGAAGAACTGGAACAAATTGACGGGGAGGCTGATTTGTTTGGAATTGACTTTGTGAAAATTTCAAGTCCTGAAGCTGCTGAAAAATACAACATCGTTAATTTGCCGTCACTGGTAATCATATAATATTTTTAAAATTTTTTCATGTATAGCTTACTACAACTAAATTAATAAGTACTTGAAGGATACAACATACTGTATAAAATATTATGTAGGTAAAATTCATATGTAACGTCTACGATTGTTCAGATCATTTTTGTCTTTTTTATAGGTTCTTGGGTTTAAATTTATCTGATTCTAAATGACTTATTTATTTTTTTATTTTTCTCAGGTATATTATCGTAAACGTGTCCCAATGTTGTACGATGGTGATTTACATCAACATGAAAGTATCCTTGCTTGGTTGACTTCTCAAGACGTTTTCGAAATCAAAAATGAAATTGAAGAAGTCAACAAGAAAATGTTAGATAAACTTCTCGACGAGAACGAATTTTTGACAGTTTTCTTCTGTAAGATAAAAAACTATCAAATCAACTAATAAAATTTTCAATGGTAATATTTTTTTCCTAATGTTTTAGATGAGTTGGACCACGATGAGAGTGAACAAGTGTCGGCCAAATTGGAAAATATCGATGGGGAACTTGAAAATTTGGATATTACTTTTGTGAAAATGTCAGATGCCAGATATGCCAGAAAATGGGGTGTCATAAAATTGCCTGCGATAGTTTACTTTAGGAAACGGTTTCCAAGTATATACAGAGGTAAGAATAATATATATATATATATATATATATATATATATATATATATATACATTAGGGTGGTCCTTAAAATGGACATTTTCGAATTTCCTTGCTCCCAAGGGCTCAAATGTTTCCAAATTGGTAAAAAACAATTCTCTGAAAGTTTTAGCTCTTAATATTGTCTTTTAGATGAAGTCAAAATCAATCAAAAATTTGTATGGAAATAGCATGAAAAAATCTTCAAAAATTTTACAGAGCGTCGAATTTTCAATAAAAAATGACACGAATTTTCACTTTTAATAAATTTGTCGCTAAGTTATACATAAAAAAATTTTTTTTTTTTAATTTTCAAAATTTTTTCCATGCTATTTCCATACGAAGTTCGATTGAATTGTGCACTATCTAAAAGTTAATATTAAGAGCTTTCAGAGAATTGTTTTTTATCAATTTGGAACCATTTGAGCCCTTGGGAGCAAGGAAATTCAAAAATGTCCATAATAAGGACCACCCTAATATATATATACTAGCTGACCCAACAGACTTTTTTCTGTACCCTCATCCACAATTTAAAAGTACAATTTTTTTAATATTTCATACTAATATTTACCGTTTAGTTAAAAATAATAATTATTAGTGAAGGTGCAATATCACCTTGGATTTTTACATCGAATATAATTGCTTAAATAATGTTGCCTATAATTTTTATAATCACGTACTATATTTTACCCTTTTTTTAGTAATTATAATACCTAAATTACTAATATTTCAATATACATTATTACTTAAGTTCATATTTTAAGTGAATTAATTTATTACATTCTGTTCATATATGCACTATTCAATCTAAAATGAACTAACTTAATATTCCATATCCAATGCCAAACAAATGAATTTTTGACATAACAAAACGTCTAAATATTTTTTTTAATAAGTATTTTTTTGTTTAGTTTGCACATTTCAGCTGCTTATCAGCAATAATAATGTAGACATTACCTTTTTCTTATTTATGATCATGAATATATTATATTCTAATAATATCTAGACTCATAAGTGAATTGAAATTCGAGGACAGTTCTCATTTGTCTAAATTTTGTCAATGTCAAACAACAACATATTGTATTTTGTTTTTTTTATTTATTTCTACATTATTAATAAATTTTTATAATCATTTCCATCTTAAAAATTCCCCTTAACAAACTTCAAAAAGATTTATCAAAATTCGAACAACCGCACATTTTCATTTAATCATCCGTACAGCAGAATTTCATATATAAGATAATTAATATCTTTTAAAAATCTTATATATAAAATTCATTAAATTTATTAAATAAAATATCTTATATATAAAATTCTGCTGTATGGATGTATGAATGAAAACTCCTCCTACGCGGTTATTCGAATTTTGATAAATCTTTTTGAAGTTTGTTAAGGGGAATTTTTAAGATATTTTACATTACTTCAAAATGATCTACAAACCATCTACTTGTTTCCCAAAAAATAAAGTACTGTTGCGTTTATTTATTTATCTAGTTGAATGAAACAACCTTCAGCAAAACGTCTCAAAAAATTCAAAATTACGTGTAGCGTCGATTTCAAAATTGGTTAGGATTTTGGGAATTTCTTCATTACTGCTTAAACATTTTTATTTAATTTTATGTAGTAATAATGCATTCCAAAAATAAAATTTATTAATGTTTAATTTCAAAAAACATATTTGGATTATTGACTCTGACTCATTGAACTTTTGAGATTTGAATGCTTTTTTCAAGATTTTTATACTGCATTTTTTATCATATTTTTGTAAATCAATTCAATCGTATAATAAAAAATTATGTGTTCTAGAATATGAGCAGATATTATTTTTATCACCAAGGATTTTGGAAATTGGAAAAATTAACTATTTTGTCACCAATCTATCTTAAGTCACAATTTGAGCAGTTGATTCGGAATACCAGATTTCTAAAACGTTTGAAAATGAAAGTAGTTTTAGTGTTAGTAGTGGTGTTAAAGTTAATAATTAGCTAAATATACTAGTCTAATAGTGTGACAAGAATATTTTAGTTACTTTAAACCAAAAAAAACATTTTATGTCATTTTACTAACTATGACTAATCCATCTATTTCCTCTTCAGGTGACATGTTGTCAGAAACTGATGTCCTCGAATGGTTAAGGAAAAACCGTTTTAGGCAACCAGAATTGAACATTTTTATGTATGCTCTGATAGCAATTTCGATAGCTTTTGTCATCTATACAGCCTTCCTGCTCCAGTGCTTTAGGACACCTCCTCCTGCACCTCCTGCCAACCCGAAGCAATCGTGAAACCAGAACCAGTAAATAAATAACTAACATTTAAAGAAAGGCCATTCGAAGATCATTCTAGGGAAAACTAATTAGGCGGTAACATGTACGTATTGGAAAAAAATATTTGGATTATTGACTCTGAATTTGTTAGACTCTTGAAATTTTGAGTAAAATATGGCAAATTCTATAAAGAATTTGATGTTATTTGCAAGATTTTTCATACAGGTTTTTTTTATCATATTTTTTTGGATCAATCCGGTCGTATGATAGAAAATTATGTGTTCTAGAATATACCAGATATCAGTTTTATCACCAAGGATTTTGAAAATTGGAAAATTTACCATGTCATGAGTTCTAGTAGACAAATTTATATTCGACAAAATAGATTGCTTACATTTTATGAAACTTGATTACTACTTTTTTATAATCATTTGCATCTTAAAAATTCCCCTTAACGAACTCCAAAAAGATTTATCGGAATACGAATAAGCGCCTAGGTGTTTTCATTCAAACATCCGTACAGCAGAAGTTTATATATAAGATTTTTATGCTTCACGTTATTTCAACTTTAAATTTTCAAAAGTTCAAAAAGCTTCGAAAGTTCAAACTTTAGTTGTTTATTAAATTTGTAGTATAGGTACTTGTATTCTATACTATTATACTATTTTATTGGTTAAAACTAAAAATTTAACTTAAATTCTGGTGCCTAAACATACTTATTTGCTTATATGTTTTGAAACTGAAAACTAAATAGATTTTAGTTTATTTTAACAAATAATTTTTCCTTAAACTAAATTACTTTGTACATAATTATTTCAATCATAAGATTTTTCTTTGAACTGAAAGATTAGAAGTTTTTTAGAAAATACTTCTTGGAACTCAATATTTCTCAAATTTCATAAAATATACTGATACCTAGAATTTGTTTACCAAAATTTGCGACTAAAACAGATAATTTTTAAATAAATTCAAATTTTCAGAAATCTTACTTTTTATTAAAAATACGTATAAGCTCCATTAAAATTCAGGAGCTCACTGCCATTTTACCGCAAATAAATAAATAATTATTTAAATAAATAAACCTACCATCATCGTATACTAAGTAAATATTAAAAAATTGTGTTCTTTTAAAATTAAGTTGTCTCAATTTTTTTTCTGAACCAGAAATATCAAAAAATGTACAAAATTTTGAAATGTACAAGTAAATGTTTGAAATATTGATCACAAAATAAATTATAGAATGACATTAATTTTATTTTGACTTAATTACTGCTTTTATTTTCTAGTAATTATAATATAAATAATTTAATGTTAATACTTTAATAAATAATAGTTTAGCTTATTAGGTTTAGGTAACTTTAACAAATTAGGAAAGAAACTTGTCAATATTCAAGAAAATCGTTTTTTATTGGAGCTTGAATTTAAATAGAATATTAAATTAATTTTTTAGGTAGTTGAGACATTTTTGAAAATAAAATAAGTTGCTAATGAAAAATATTTTATATAAATTAACTCTTTGTAAAATTTATTTAATTAGTGCTCCAGTTCAATGGAGTGACTGAACTACAATTCTTGATATCAAGAATGAAATTTTGAAAATTATTGAGATTTTAAAATTTAGTAAATATTGCTTTGTGTTTATTATTCTTACTCACTCACCAATATTTTCAAAATAACTTATCATTAACACGTTCGTTGCCACGATAATATCAGAAAAAAATTCACATGGACCATGGTAACTTAATAACTTTATTAGACAATTTAGTTAAAAATGTATCAAGAAAACCTGATGTATCAAAGAAAAATTTGTTTTTGCCAAAATTCCTGTAAAAACACTATTTTTATGTCACACTTTTTTTTTCTTTTTTTACCAAATCTCGTATGTCATACATATATGTCTGACAAGGTTCATGTGTAACTTTTTAGCGTCAGACACATCTGACTTTTATTTTAATATAAATCTTTTACCTCCGCCGATAAATAACGATTTTTTTACAATATTGAACAGTTCTTCATTTAATTTAAATACAATTCAAATTCAATTTTGAATGTATATTACTACGAGACATATTTCTATAGATGTATGTAACACGTTTCTCGCATCTAACAAAACTCTGAATGAATGTGATTCAATAATAATAATATTAATAATAATAAATCGCCGGCATTATTAATATTTCTATTCGCTTCCTATCCTTCTAGGCGATTTATTAATTTTAACGTTAATTTTAACACGATTTATAATTATATATACAAAACAAATTCCATATAAGAGATGTACATCTATATTCTAAGGCGTATTATTGTATATATTATATTATATATTCTCTGTTTCGTAAACATTAGTGTAAATATGCGAAAGTGTAAATAAAGATCTTGTTTTAATTTTAACGATTTCTTATTTAACTTACATTTATAAGACATGAAGTGCCAAATTATGCCAGAAAATAGACCAATGTTACACTGCGTTTTTCATATAAAATGGTACTAAAAACTATCAAAATCCTATGTAGTTGCTGTGCTGTGTATTACCTAAAGAATCTAGCCTAGAAATCGCATAAACATAAAAAAAGAAACTTATCATAAGTGCATTTTTCGGATGTGTCATGATAACATATGAGTGAAATTAGATTTTATGTATGAAACGTCTGATTGCTTAGAAAATACCTTTTTTGCTTTTTGGTAGTTTTTAGTACCATTTTATATGGAAAACGCAATTAAAAAAATGTTTTTAGAAAATTGTTTTCTTACAGCAACGAGAGCAGTTTCTTTTTGGGGTTTTACAAGATCCAACCAAAGGTTGATATATTTTATTATTGTATCTAATACTAATGATTTATTTTTTGTTGTTTTTAGCTGTTATTTGTAGGAGATGACATTTGTTGTCCCTTCCTAACTAAGATTTTTTAATTTTAATTTAAGAACAAAATAATTGATTTTGGAAAAAAAAAATGTTCCAACTTTTTTCTTTAATTTTTTTTTTTTTTTTTTTTTTTTAATTTTGTTTGTATATCGAAAATAATTCAGATTTTATTTTTAATTCTGACTATAGTTCTAATATACTTTAAACAAATAATTTCAACTTTGCAATTCAGTTTATATAATTCTTATAAATATTAGACAATGTCACAATATTTATAATAATCTATTTGAAAACATTTAATATTCCTCGAACATTTCGTTACGTCGGGAAGTTCCAGCAATTTGCCTTAGCCACAATACCATACACCCCACAAGTTTTTAACTTTCCTGGGGTAAGTTCTAGTAATCGCAAAACATCTAAAATGAAATTCTTGCATATCTTTACATGTCAAATGTTTTCTGAACATTTTGACATACCTTAAAAAAATAATGTATGTTCAGATACATTTTTTTGTCCACGATTTCGGGCGCACCGATCAAACGATTTGAATGGTTCAAAAAACATTCATTTCCCATGACGGAAAGACGTGTTGATTAATTTTTGGCGAAGGCAGGTCGAGATATTTTGTAGATACAAAGATATTCAATAATTAACTTCCCGTAGGGCAAGTTTTAGTAATCGCAAAAAATCAAAAATAACTTTTTTTATATGTCTTTACGTTTCAAAGGTTTCTGAATATTTTGGCATACCTTAGAAAAAATGGATGTATGTGTGTGTGTGCGCGTGTGTATGTGTGTGCGGATACAAACTTTCGTCGACGATTTCGGAAACACCTATCAACCTATTTGAATAATTCAAAAAACATTCGATTCGTATTGGTAACGAGACGCGCTGATTAGTTTTTGGCAAAGGCAGGTCTAGCTGTTCCGAAGATACGGGGCAAAAAGTGCCAAAAATGGTAACTCAGTTTTAAAGAGATGGAGCGTCCGATTTTAATAATTCGAAAAACATTTTACTTGTATTGACAAGATGAAAAATTGATTAAATTTTCATGAAGGCAGGTTTAGCGGTTTTGGAGATCTAATAAGAAAAGTTAAAAAAATATGCCTTTTGGCGGTCAAAAATGAACATTAGACATATGCACATCAACTTATCAGATATTTTATAGAGATTTTAACAATAAGTATAAATTTTGTTTACGTTAATGGGTTCCGTACCAACGCTTATCCGTTAGACGGCGGCGCGACGTTTACGCGCTTCGATATTTTGTCTCTATGCAGTTAAAGCAGTACGATTGCTATGAAAAAAAGTTCAGAATTTCCAAAATATGACAGAATAAAGAAAACATTTTTTTTTAAAAAAAGTAATTTTTTGTCAAATTATAGTTTCTCAAAATCTCATTTTTTCGAAGTAAGTTTTTTTTCAAAAATATTAAAAGTTTTTAAAAAAATAATAATTTTTGGTACGGGAAGTTCCAGCAATTTGCCTTGAGGCACGATTCTTAATTGCCTTAAGACAGAATTCCACTTACAGCTAGTTCAATTGGAAACG